TATGTCCCATATAATGTGTGATGTATGAGTGAAGTTTGAACATAATCGGTCCATGCATGTTCGAGATACAGGTGATCACGGACGGACGCACGGACGGACGCACACAGGGCAAAACATAAGTCCCTGTTTTCGGAGTCCGTCCGAACGGGGACTAATAAAAAGTGTCCTGAAAACACAAACTTCATCAAATGTCTTCTCCACTGCAGTTCGGATACGTTTTCTGGGGAAAACTGTATCGGGTTCCACTGCCGTCAAAGAAACGCGGCCATGAGCATATCCCATGTTTTCTCTGATTTTTAATTTTAATGTCCAGTATCAGTCGTCGCATCCTTTTCGGAATATAACAAGAAAGAAAATAACTTCTGGGATGTCTTGCCACAGAAGCGACACCAGTTTAATAGTGCAATGAAAAAGAAGAGTTACGAAACTACCTAACTTTGGTGTGCCTCTTTGATGGTTTATCAGCAGACAACGGCAACCAATGACCACAGTCGGCGGGCCGTTTGATGGTTCTCAGCGTCGAAGTGTTTACGTTTGGTGATCACAGTAGCCAACCTGGATTTTACTACAACTTATTCTGTCAATCATTCTAGGTGTTAAACGCGTTGCTGAATCTAATAAAACCAGGACATTATGTGGCAGTTTATCATTCGAAAATCCACGAGCAATCTGGTAACATCGAGCCGATCTATACACAGTGATTACGAAACGACCTTTCACTTGTTTACTTTATCTGCATCTTTTATCTACCGTTGGCATGGCTACCCCAGTGAAACGCAAACGCAGTGTGCTTGATTTGGACACGAAGCTGTCAATTATAAATCAACTAGAACGTGACGAAACTGAAAACTATCTACCGAGTATGGTGTTGGTAAATCGACAATATCCAATATCAAGAAGGCGAAACAAAAGCTGCTAGACTTTTCCAGTAAAATGGATTCAAGTGTAAGACTGAAACGAAAGATAATGAAAACAGCCAATGACGACCGTTTTCACTTGGTTTTCCCAAGAAAGAAGCAAAAGAACACCACTTTCCGGGCAAATTATCACGGAGAAAGCGAAATGGTTCGACAGACAACTGAATGGCGAACAATCTGATTTTAAAGGCAGCACTGGTTGGCTGAAAAACTTCCAACAGCGACATGGTATTCGACAGATTTTCGTTCAAGGTGAAAAACTGTCTTCTAACCAAGCTGAAGTAGAGCCGTTCATACAAAAGTTTCAGGATGTCATCCGTAATGAAAACTACATAACCGAACAAATCTATAATGCAGATGAGTTCGGACTTTATTAGAAACTGCTTCCAAGAAAAACTCTTGCAGCGGCTACGGAGAAATCAGCACCAGGTTACAAAGTCAGTAAAGACCGTGTCATGATAATGGGATGTGCTAATGCCACTGGAACACATCGACTACCGCCAGTGGTAATCGGCAAATCACGCAACCCTCGATGTTTTAAACATGTTAACATGGAAAATTTGCCTATCCGTTATCTCAACCAAAGCAGTGCATGGATGAGTGGTGAACTGTTTTCAAGGTGATTTTGTTCCAGCTGTAAAACGTCATCTGCGACAGAAACAACAACCAGAAAAAGCTCTTCTCCTAATTGACAATGCGCCGTCACATCCCAGTTTAGACAAACTACAAAGTCGGGATGGCATGATTAAGTGTATGTTTCTGCCACCAAATACAACACCATTGTTACAACCAATGGATCAAGGCGTGTTAAATGCCACAAAACGCCGTTATGAAAATTGATCATTATAATACAGAGGACGTCTCAATCCTTGAATGCGTGAAAACCGTGACTCTCAAAGACACCTGCTATATGATAGAGTTCTGGAATGAACTCAGCGAACAATCGTTGCCAATGCATGGCATAAATTGAAGCTAAATGTCACTGACGAAAGTGCTATTGTTGAAAGTGACAAAGAACCCGGCACGGACTTTGACACCGACAGACTTCCACCAGCAGACCGCGAAGAAATTGAACAGTGACTGAACACTGATCCCGGGTTTCAGATGTTGGCAGACGAGGAAATTGTAAACAGTACTCAAACCTCAATAACAAAGAAAACGAGCCTTGTGTACCAGTTCCGTCACACAGTGAAGCAGCCAACATGTTTTCCAAGTGTTTGTTCTGGCTGGAGGCCCAGGCTGACTGTGAATCAACCACGCTTCTACTAGTCCGGAACTTGTATAAAAAAGCCGCCCAAAAAGACAAGACACTGTCGAACAGAAATCTATTCATTCCTTTTTCAAAAAACTCTGAAATGTTTTCGCGTTAATACACCGACTAGACACTGTATTACAGATAAGACAACATTAATATTTATTGCTTTTTTTATCGCTTTATTATTATTACCGCTACATTTTATGGATACTTTGAAACAATGTTTAACATTCCCGCATGCAACATTTTATTACAATGTATTACTTTTTAAAATTGCAACTGATTAAATAAAAATGACATACTCTACATGTGCTATTGTTTGATTTCATTACATGTGCGTTAGAATTTGTGCGTACGTGAGCCTGTAAATTTGACCCCGCCCACACAAGATCGCATATCAGAATTGTTTGCATAACCGAACAAAAAGCATGTCCCCCTAACAGTACGGGTAATCAACGTTCTACTGTAGTTATATAGAGAGGGCATATATATAATTGAATTCAGGAGCTGGGGTAAGAGTTCGAGTTAGAGCTGTAGTCAGATTGCTTTTTTACAGACAACCTAAAATCAAAACCAACTCTGAACGGGCTCCTTTACACCCATTATATCACAAAAAGCACTACATTACTTAAGGTAGCAATTTGTGGAAACCATGTAGAGCAAGTGTGCATGAATTATAATTGATTTGGATGAAATCAACAGTGGCAGCCACTAAACCAACGACCACACACCTGTGTATACTTAAATTGCTGTTCCACATCCTTAATAGTTGACTGACAATCCAGACATATGAATGTTCCTGTTACCAACTCCGGATGTACCGGATGTGTACGTACAACTTGACCACTGATGCGTATTAAGGTACCAATCTTAGCAGTCGTCAGCTCACGTACTCTGGGAGAAAAAAAAAATGGAAATGAAACATAGGGGATATCACAAACACACGGTTTGACTTAGTGTTCCATTATAGCTCTATTTATTGATCAGATGTGAAGGCTGTGTATTTGAACTTGTGTTTGACCTGTCCAGGGATTGCACAGTATATGAAAAGATGTACAGCAGTGACTGGTTGTAATATACACTATAAAATTTATATTAGCAACAAGTCATTGAAAATGACACAGTCCCCATTAAATTTTTGAAAGTTCTCTTTGTGCTCGTCATATTAAAGTGGAGGGGTTGTCGCGAGCGTGTCCTTGAAACTTGAGTTCCAAGTGGCGTATACAACAGATTGTTTATTTACACCAAAACATGTGTTTCATGTAGTAGTAATATGGCCAAAAATAAAAACAGCCTTAATTCGGCCATCTTTGATCTGATTATGAAACACACTGATATGTATGATGTATGTGCCAAATATGAATGAAAATGGTACATAAATTGTGGAAATATAGTAGTAAGGCCAAAAAGTCAGATGGCTGTCAATCGGCCATCCTTGACCAGATTTTTTAACAAATTGTCATGAACATGCATCCTAACATGTATAAAGTACATGTATGTGCCAAATTTGAATGAAAACTGACAGAACACAGCCAAGATACCGCATAAAAAACAAAGAACAAGATGCCTGCCAGTCGACCATCTTTGATCCAATTGCGAAATAAATCATCATGGACATGTAACCTAACATGTATAATCTATGTACCAAGTTTGAATGACAACTGACTGTCCAAAATACAACATTTCCAAAAAACAAGATGGCTGCCAGTTGGCCATTTTGAATCGAATCGCTAAACCACTGCATGTGCTTATGTCCCATATAAAGTACTAGACACATGCAAAGAATGAACAAAATCGGTCCAAGGGATTCTGAATTACTGTAGAATACTTTATTTTTGCTTGGAATTTATTTTCGCTGAAGGGATGTTTCCGTGAAAATAAAATCCAGCGAATATACTTTTTTTTCCTATATTTCACATTAAACTCATCAAAAATCAGTGAAAATAAATTCCACACAAAACGCCCAAAAAGCTTTTTCAGCGAAAATTAATTCTAGCGAATATAAAGTATTCCACAGTACGACTCCGGACGGACGGAGACCAAATTATAAGTCCCCGTTTTCGGACTTCGTCCAAGCGGGGATTAATTAGTATACACACAACGATAGATACAACAGTAACCTACGATGCCTAGTCTGTCACAAATATATTCACCAACAATTTAGACCAAAATCTTTTACCATTTGGTCCAAATTTCCAGGTAGACACAATCAAATGCAACATGCAGACTATTGTCATCCAGTGTTATTCCAAATAGTAAGCCTGCAGTGTTATACCGATAGTAACTTACTTGTGCCTTGTTGGTACGTCTTCAAATGCAACATAGAACTCTTTATTTGGTGGAACCTGTGCTCTGTCTCTTGCAAAGTTACACACAGCACGGCATATGTATGGGTACACCCTACAATGGTATAGAGTACACAATACAGTTTTTTGTACATTGCACAATGCTGCTAGAAACAAATACTGTAAACAAACTAATTATTCACAGGTTTTTAATTTCCTTCTATATGTCCACAAGTATGGCCCGCTAAATAAAATTATTTGAACAATAGGACCCAATGAAAGTATTAAAATGGTAAAATTAAATGTCAGTGAAAATAAATGGTTTTAAAGTATATACGACTATTAATTAATACATGGCGGACAATCTACATTTGAGACTATGTGTGAATGATTCTCCCCCTCACTTTTTTTTGCGAATGTTCTTGTTTCTAAAAAAAAAAATCAGAAATCAGTATTGAAGTATAATGTAACAGTACACTGTTAAAACCCAGGTATTTACATGACAGTAAAAATAAATTTTACAGTATACAATAATAACAAAGTCAATTAACAATAACCCTGAAATGCAATCACTAACAGTTTTATTTAAATAAGTCTCACATCAAAAGCAGAAGCAAGAAGATACAATTTTAACATTTCATGAATCAAAGACGACCCATTTCAAGAACATTACTTGCCTGTAATACTCTTCCTGTATTGTTGTGGCTAGTTGTTGATTATGGCTTTGCACATCATCAAAACTCACAGTTAAAGTGTTTCTTTCCGGTCTGATCAATTCTTGTACATCTGGTAAGTATTTCACTTCACCATCCACCGTATATCTGGAGGGTTAAGTATTAATTTGGGTTCAGTTTACTTTATAATCTATAGTAATGTGTGAAAGACATTTTGACTTGAATCTTTTTTTTAGTTCAATTTTGAAATACAGTGCTGAGATACCCTTACTTCGTCAATAAATGTATATATTTATATTATTGGGTTTATAGAATTACCTGCACCAATCTCAGTGTACTCTTCATTTTTATAAATATTTATAAATTTAACAATTCAAAGTTGAAACTAGAGATTTTCTATTGGCTAGTTGAATAAACTTGTTTTCAAATGGCGTTGTTGTGCACTGTGCTTATTAATTGGCTGGTTTGACTCAACTGCCATTGAAAGGGAACGCTTTTGTTGCACCACGAGCAACCACAAATATTGTTGAAAAACTTTATTCAGGAAAGGTGTCAATTGATTGTCAATACCAGACCATGATAGTGGTGTTCACGTTAGAGACCTCAGGACCGAAACATGTGTGTGAATGAACGGGACCGAGTCAGCACGTATCAACAAATTAGATAGATGCTGGGAACCGAAACTCTGCCGAGATATGGATACAATTTCAATATAACAATTATTATCATCATATGAGTATCGTTTTCTATGTTTGAGTCAAATAACAGATCTACGAATGAGGGCGTGATTATGTCCCAAGTGGGTCCCGATCAACGTGAATGCAACTGATATACTAGTAATCCCTGTGCAAACACAAAGAATTAAGAGATCCCATAACGTGGTCGCAGTAGATGTCTTCTGTCTCATCATGGAGGTAGAAAAGAGAAGGAGTGAGGACGCTATTTAAGCCCATGTTAATCTTATAAACATCCTTTGTCTTCGCTCTGGTTAAGCCACTTATTGTTTTTGTTTAGAAGTCGTTTTATCTACATGATGATAGCCGCTTATTTACACAAGAAAACGAGAGTAGAACTGGAAAAAATAAATTCTGTTTAAACAT